TCTGACTTTAATTTTAGAATCATTGAAGAAACTAAAAGCTTCTGACAGTTTTTTGTTAATTGGATATCCATTACTTTCTCAAGTTAATGTTGGTGTTTTCAATGTGCTTGTTAATATGTTCCTTAAGGTATTCATAATTTATGAACTAGAATTTTTAAATTATCTATTCCCATTTTTTCAATGTAATTTATATTTAATTTTAATTTTCAATTTCTTTCAGACCGGAGTGATCAAACCTGTTGAAATAGGTCATGCTTTTGTGTTTTGTTCAAGACTTAATGGCAAAAGTATAGATGATTTAATGTCCGTTTTATCAAATGTAAAAGAACATATTAAGGATCTTAATATTAAATAAATTCTTGAAAAGCAAGGCCAATCCTTACTTTCCTTTTTTCCGATCGATAAACTTATGTGCAAGTTTTTATTTTTTATTTTAGATAAAACTAATTTATTGCACATGTTTTATTATTTTAAAGCTATAACTTAAATGTGATTTTATACTTCAGATGAACCCATTTATAAAGACATTGTTGCTGTTAATTGTTTGGTTATCATCCATGACGTGAAAAAAACTATTTCTTCTTATTTGCAACAAAATTGACCATGAATGTTGTTTTATCATTATTTTATTAATTTTTTATTTTTTATTAACATTTTGTTATTTTTTTTCTTGTTGTTTTTTGAAGTTGATATTCTATTTATTTTATTAATTATAATTGTCCCATTTGTATAAATTTCAGCTTTTTCAAATTTATTGATTATTTATTGTATTTCATTATTTTGAAAAAAGATTTATATTGTTAAAGATTGAAATTATTACTTTATATAAAAACTACTTTTTTTTTTCATATTAAATGATTGTAATGTGATGTATAACAATAACTTTTTTAGAAATCTGTAACTATTTATTTTGTTAAATATAAAATATTCATATCATATAATTATGTATGTACTTTACTGTACTGTACAGTAAAGATAAATGATTAGAGAAGATATTTACATAGACAACTAGAGTTGTTAGAGAAACCGCCCGGTGATGAAACTTCTTAGGGCGTTTCATTATTCGTTTGTAGGGGTTAAGAGGAGAAAATAACGCGGCAACAATTTCTTTTCAAACTTTCGGGGCAGGCACAGGAGAAGGGATATCAGAAATAGGTAAATATAAGTCTTTTTTGAAGTTGTTTGAATGATTATTTTAGGAATTATGGTACCGAGTATAGTAATTTGTAGCGAATGCTGTGCACAAATAATTTGTAGCAATGTATAGAACGCAAGGCCGTACCGAAGGTGGGCTTGGGGGGGTGTCTCACAGTTTTGCCCCCCCCTGGCCTCAACGCAAATACGCCCTTAACGACGGACGACAGCGAAGAGCGATTGGCGATGTGCGATGAGCGACTAAAACATTTACATCTAGTAGCGATTCGCTAAAGCTATGTTATATAAAATATTTTATCAAACAAAATATTCCTCATATGCCAATATGTCGTCGACAAGCATAGTTCAGCTAACGATACTGTTAGAAAACCCTATGCTAAACGATATTTTTTTGAAAATCGGCTTTAATTGAACTTCGGAAATTAGTATTTCTCTTTGCTCAGAAGTAAATTTATTTTACTGACTCGTAATTTATTTTAATAAATTGTAATTAAGTTCAATGAATAAAATGAGATAAAAAAAGTGAACACGCTTGAAAATAAAGTAAATATCGCTCTAAAATGATGACCAAATATTAAATATGATTAATATTAATCGCATCGCTCGAGAATCGCCGGTCGCTGTCGCCAATCGTTCAAAACCAATTTAAACACTTCCATTTGGAACTATGTGTTAAATATATTTTAGGAAATTCCGAGTCACTCATCGCTTGTCGCTGTCGCCCGTCGCTCGTCAATGTGAACCCGGCCTTATTGTCGTTGACATGAAAATCTCGCTCTAGTAGTGGTGGTAACTATTTTTAGCAAAAAATATTGCCTTTTCTCAGAAACAGACACTGCACTGATAACGATGATTAACAAAATAATAATTTTGGTATTTCTGATTTCATAATGTGAATTAAGTAACTCACAGACACTATATAGGTAAAATTACATTATTATTGTTAAATTTGTGTTCAATACAATTTGAATTTGTTTAAAGCCTCCCCTTTATATTTTAATAAAATTACTTGTTCAAAAAATTACAGGGCACACTCAAATGTAAAACTCTGGGTCCACTTATCATTATCATAGGCGCAAATAGGGTAAACAATTTAGTGGGACTACAGCCATCCTACCAAAACTTAAAATAACCTGTAGATTACTCCTACACTCCTACCATGTTAATATGTTTTAGATTCTAAACCAAATTGGATTTACTGTAAAGTATTTTTTTTGTATGTGACACTATTGTGAGTTAAGTATGCTGTATGCCATGTATGACATGGAATATTCATAGGGGGCTAAAGCATGGTATGATGGGAGAGGGGCTAACCCCCTCTAGTTGCGTCTATGATGCTAATAACATTTAAGTTCGTATTCAACCTCGCTCGATGGAGGATTCTGACATAATCGCAGCTTCGGCACTCTGCTGAGTTAAAATATATATATATATTTGTACGACTCTTACTGTCTCATAAAGTTCTAAAAATTATATTATTGATTCATAGACGATCATGGACTTGTATTTCAAGGGATCCTACAATACTTTTGGGCCCTATCAAAACTTATATTTAATTATAATGCATAAATAATTTAAAAAAAAACATATTGTTAATTTTTTATTTAATATTGCGGTGTCCCAATGAAAATGTTTTCTATGAATCTATATTTTTCTTAGACAACATAAATTTAATTTAATTAATTTAATTAAACTTATCATAAGTAAATATCGTATTAAGTTTAAGAAATTTCGTTTTACTTTATCCATTACGAAATATCATTTATTTTTTACCAAATATTTTCGAATAAATCTGTCAACGACAACGCAATAATAAGGGCGACGTGACTGTCATTTCAGTTGCCCATATTCTCTCATCAAAATAACTGAAAATTAACTTAATTTATCTTTAACTTATATTTATTGATTGCATATCAATTATTATTATTTTAATTTTATTTATTTAAGTATAATATGATGTATTTAATATTATAGGTATGTCAAATATATTGAATACTAGCATGTATAAAATAAATTAGGCATTCATTATTTCATAATAAAAAGTATTATAATCATTAACTTACTAGAATTATTTATTTTAATTGAAATTTCATTCCACACTTTTTCTTTAATATCTTGTTGGGTATAATTATGATTTTATATCATAAAGACGTGTATGACTTTTTATAATTTGTACACGTTTCATTTTCTTCTTATTCGTTTGCCATTTTAAATAAACAATTTGAAAATACAATATTGTATCTTATTAAAATAAATTATGATACAATAGCCACAAGCAAATGGTAGAAAGAGACTGACATGTCGAGTTGCTTAAAAATAGTTTTTAGCCATTGAGTTGCTTTATAGTCGTGTTGTTGCTAATGAGAACATATCGATTCGATAATACATGTCGCGTTGCGTCGAAGTCTCGTTGTCGTCGACAGTTGCTTTTGATGAGAACACGGCCTTAGACTTAAATTGTAGGGCCCTATTTACAACATTTAGCGGGAAGGCTTCCGTTCTTACGCCTATGGTAATGTGACTTCCTTACGTAATGTAACTTCAATGGTTACTTCACTCCAACGTTTTGACATCACATTTTTTTTTTTTTTTAGATGCTCTTTTATATGTTATTGTATAGCTCGGCATGTTTTTTTAATGTTGTGCACGAATTGAATATTAAAATTTTACTCCATATTAGACATAATCGTAAATTTTATATTAATTTATTTAATTAATTTTTCATTTAATTTTTATACAATTTGTAAATTATAAATTTGATACAAAATACAAAGATCAATTTCAGGTACCGTTGAAGCAACTCGATCAACCAGAGTAGCGAGGATACTGACAAGTAGTTGCGAGTCGACTAGTTTATTTTTAGAAATTTATCTTTGGGGAACGAAATATTGGAAATTGAAACGTGCATTTTTGATAATTATCCGTTATCGCCAGTGGTAGACTGTGATTTAACTTAACCTAAAGGTACGTCCTCACTGCATCGATCAGCAAAATTGCACTAGTGTGGACATGATTGTCGGCTTCGTTATCAGTTTTAACGTTGCCGATTGTTACCCGTGCGTGGCGGTCTACATCAAAGGAAACCGAACCAACATGCGTAGTGAAGACGCTTTTCGGCTCAATCTCAGTCGGCATTTGATGTTTGTAGTAACCAAAAATTTAACAGTAGTCAATTTATTTATTAATTTTTTTTAAATTGCCATTTTTGAAAATTAAGTGGTATGAAGAAAAAACTTTAAATGCGAAAAAAATTTCTAAAACCCGCATCACATCGATATTCTAAATTTAATTCATTACATCTCCCAAAATTAAATCTTTCATCAAATCACTATACAATTTTTGATTATTTAAGTTTGGTTGGACCCAAAAACGCTTTTTTTTGTGTACATTAATACAAAAATCCATAATAAAGCAGCTGGAGCTACCAAATGAATATCTTTTTCACTACTCATCTCGACGAAACCGAATACTGAACGTGACTGAAAAAAAATGTATTTGTACGTATGTCGATTTCGAAGTGGCCGATTGGATTTTTCACTCGATATTGCCGTTCGGAATAGTGAGGTATAAGGGTCCGAACGCACTGCGGTATTTTCGCCGTCGGGTCCAAACGGTTTTACCCGAACGGTTTTTACGTTCACACCAAACTACTATATTTAGACGGACTGCACCGCACTCGACGGTTTCGCCGTTCTCCGCCGTCGGTCGCCGCAACATGCTGCGGTTTGACGGCGCTGCCGTTGTACCGTTCGTAAAGTAAACACATTGTTTCGATGGAAAGGAACCCACTGTGACTATAGTCAACGGTTAATTTTGTAATTTTTCATATACTTATAATTTTTTTCTAATTCACCAAATGCTTCTGCGACAGCAATCACTTTAAATAAATTGTCATAATCATCTAACTCCATTCTAAATAAATTAAATGTAATATAATAAGTAGGACTATGCATTAAATTAACTAATAATTTAATTTATAACTTACTTACATGTATTTAGGTGTTTGTGTACAAATCGTGGTAGGTAGGTATAAAAAATTTAAATTTACAGTATTAGATATAGTGAAATATAGTAAATACAGTAGATCACAGACCATAGTAGTTGGTTAACCAACCACTGTACTATCAACTATCAATATTCAATTTTCTTATGGAAATTAGAAATTGATATTTAGCCAGTTTAGGCGGGAAAATTGAGTGATAGCACCTTTTGTATTAGCGGTAAAAAATCGCAGTGCGGTGCGGGTCGTAAAATCCGCGAACGGTAAAACCATTTGGACCCGACGGCGAAAATACCGCAGTGCGTTCGGACCCTAAGTGACGTACCTTAATGTGCGTTGATACTTGGAAATTCGTTATCTTTATTATATTATTAAAACGTGAAGCGAATTCTTATGACAGTTATATCTGAAGTTCCACTGAATCGATTTTCATGATTTTTCTTTCTAATGCAAGTACTTGATGTGCAGATGAGCAATCAAAAGAGAAAAGTCCAAAAAATTAATTATTTAAATAGTTATTAATAATTATTAAAAGTATTAAGTTTGCCGTATTTTTGGGCCGTTTGCATACAGTCCGATAATATCGGTGATTTTGTCGGTATAAAGCGTTATTTTAAATCAATCGTTTGCATACTAGTTCCGATCTAATGAAATGTTTGATTTATTTCACTGATATCGTTGTGCATGTCGGACCAGGGGCGGAGAGGCCCATCTGGAAATCTGGAATTTTCCAGATGGGCCGGAATGCGACAACAATTAAAAATTAAAAAAAAAAATTTAAATAAAAATATAAGTATAATTGGCGATCAATTGTTCAACATTTCAAATAATATTTAATGATCATTATTACAAATAAAACTTCTTCTTAAAGTACGTGATGTTATTATATTTATTATTAAGATGATTTATAAATACTAATAAATTAACATCAGATAATTAGATATCGTGAAAACATGAAAATAAAATATTGAATGTCGATAATTATTATTATCAGATGTGGTATTTCTACTTTTTCGTACACTCGAGTAGTGATGGGCAAATACCCGGTAAATATAATTTCAGGTAAATACCGGGTATTTTCCCGATAAATTGGATAAATTTATTTGTAATACCCAATTTATGGGTATCACAATATTTTTTATGTTTGTTTCCTAACTTTTTCATGTTTTTCCAAATCTGATGATTAGAGTACATAAATTATATTTATGAAGTTTTTGTTAATTTTATTCACTTTGAAACCATTAACAATTTTAATGGGGAAACAAATAAATCTAAGAATTTAAAAACTAACCAAAACGCTTCAAATTTTAAAATGAAATTTATTTAATAAAAATAATTATGTTTGACAATAAAAAAATATATTTACCCAAATTTTTGATAGGTAAATATTATAGTGGTAAATACCCAAAATATTTTCCTACCCTTCGGGTATTTACCCACGGCACATCAGTACACTCGAGTGTTCGATTTACGCTTGTTCTTATCTATCGCGTCAGTTTTAAATTCTAACTATAAAATTGAATCGTATGTTCCTAAGTTGTAAATATGTACCTACATTATAAGAATATCAGTTGTCACGATAAACGATTGGAATATGTTGGAATACCACAATTCTTATATCATTACAAGGGCTGTTTTCCATATCCATTGTTACTTGTTTAATTTTTTTCTCTACACGACGACGCACAATTTACCTATATCTACAACTTATTTTTCCATTATGAATAATTCACACACGATGAAAAAAAGATAAGGAGGCGCAGAAAAAGAACGCAATTAAAAAAAAAAAAAATTACTTCACAAGTCTGCTCAAAATTGAACAAAGATTAATTCATTATTTCATACAGCTGGTAAGTAGTTAATGTTTTTCTATTAGATAATTAAAATTAAAATAAATAAATAAGTAAGTAATTGTTATATATTGTAATAAGTAAATTATTGTTTATTATTTAAAATAATTAATAAAAATCGTACAATACTCATGTAAAATTTGTTTTTATTTAAAATAGATCAAGCTGCAGGTAATAATACAGCAGAACCAAATCAAACATCTGTCAAAACTGATACGGAACTGCCTACTGATTCATACACAATACTTGAAAGTAAATTATTATTTATTATTTAAAATAATTAATAAAAATTAAAAATTGTCCAGTACTCATGTCAATTTTGTTTTAATTTAAAATAGATCCAGCTGCAAGCAATAATAATACAGTAAAATCAAATCAAGAAGCTCCTGATGATACTATTTTGAATGTTGAAAAAAGTTTACGGTTGATTAGGGTTGCCATACGTCCCGGAAACCGGGATTGTCACTGGTTTTGGACTTCGTGTCCCGGAGTCCCGAAAAATATTTTTGGGACGTCCATATGTCCCGGCTTAGACGTCTAGAGGAAATTTAGTATTGTTTAATTTTTAATTTCGACCAGTTTATCTCAAAGTAAATTTTTAATCGTAATCGATTAACAATATATAAAAAAAAACATAATTTGTAATTTACACAAATAATATATTTTATTTTACAAAAAGATTTTTAAATATTATATTGCCGGCCATTAATGGTCTTCTTCAGTGTCGTATATATAACTTTTGTATGGGGGGAGGGGGTGATAATTTGCAAACAAATCATAATCTTTATTTTATTATTATTTTTTTTACGTTTCTAACGCCTTCACAATAAGAACATTATTTTATAACATTTAAAAAAAGGCCTAAGGGGAACTGATCCCCACATCCCCACCTTGTATACACCACTGGTCCTCTCAGTATATTAAAAATTATATAAAAAGTATATTACTCCTTTTCTTAGTTCGTTGATGTAAACCTTTATAGTCAGAATCTGGAAATTTTTCTCTAGCGACAGTTTAATACTTCACACAATACTTCTAAGTAAAATAAATCGAAATAACGATAACACAGTGCATGTCAAAATTATATACGTGTGTACAAGAAATAAATCAAATTGTATTATTTAGTATTTTGATACAAAGCTAATTTTAATATTTTTTCGTTCGAGTCTATGAGATAAATATTAAAAACATTTTAAGAAAAACAAAATGTAAAATTATGATATTTTGTAAATAATGTAATCTATGTGAATTTGAGGCCCTTAAAATTTCGGGGCCCCGGACCCGAGCCCTACAAGCCCATGCCTTAAGACGGCACTGACCCTACCGTTGATGTATATAACAGAGTATTTGATGCAATTATAATAAGTATGGAAAACCGATTTACAAATAATAAAGAAATACTTGTTGATTTAACATTATTATCACCTATTCATTTTGATTAATTTGTGAATGGACTACCTATATAAATTATAATACTGAAAATTTAAATACTGAATTATGATATAACAAGTGGTAATTCACAAATCAATGTTTAACTATAAAAAAAACATGAAACGATATTTGAAACAGGGTAGTCGTGACGGTGATGAGTATACTTTTACTTAATTAGTCCTAAGTCCACTTAAGTGATGGTAAGATATCTGGTTGAAAATTGGTATTAACCGCCGTAATTGACGCTAATTAACAGTAGTTATTTTTAAAAGAATCGAAACAGAATCAAATTTTTCTCACATTAGAATAATACCAAACTTGAAACTAATTTTTTATTTTATAAGAACCGAAAATAAACCGAAATCTAAATTTTTGTTATTTTTGAATCGGCATCAAAACCGGAATCGATTTTTTTTTCTAGGAACCGTACAATTCATTAAGGTTTCGGTCGCTGATTCAAACTTACTAGCATCTGACTACACCCAACAGTGAATAAAAATAATAAAGTTATTAAACAATAAAGTTGGTAACCATAACATTGATATAACTTATATTACTAGTTATTACTGTAATATAGTAATCAAATATGAGTAATAAAAGAAAAAATAATACTCATACTTTCATATTTCAATAAAAGTACAAAGTCAGTGGTCGATATTATCTAAGTAAAAAGTTTTGAGAGGGTGGGGGATTTTTCCAATTTCCCCCTCCCATTTAGCTATATCGTTTTCTTTTTTTGATCCCACCTTTCATAAATCATGTCTACGCCATTGCATTAGACTATAAGTTTAATTTTATTTAAATTATTGAAGATACAGTTTTTAGAGCAATAGAACATTTATCGAGTGGTAATGAATTAACGTAGATCCCTTTTTTTTAAAGAATACAATAATTTTCTGTTAATAACAGTTGAATTTTCGTTTTTGAAAATGCCAGCAATTAGACATACAAACTTATGTCGCAGAACTCACAATGCTGCGAGTCAAAAATATACAAGAGCAAGTCTAACTGACGAGCAACGCAAAGCGCGGAATATGTATCACTGTACCTATATTAAAATGTATTTACAGTAAAACAATATTCCATTAAATAAAATGTAAAAGTTCAAGTTCTTGGCCCGCCAAAATGTTTCCTTTTTATGAACATCGGTCAAAAAAAAAGGTTGGGCACCACTGGTCTAAACAATAAAGCGAGATGGCTGTCAATGAACCGTAATCCGATTTTCTTATAAATACTTATTTATTAAACGAGGAACTTGGTGATAGAATCAATAAAATTTACATAGTATACAAAAACAGACTGCAGCACCGGGTGTGTACAAATACGTACATACGTGTATGTACGTCCAAATGCATTCCCCGATCATATGATCATATTTTCTGTACCAGGTCTACTTTCCGTTATAAATGTGTAATATAACGTATACAGATGTACGATTCCGGTACTAAACACCGTGATTCGCATAGGTTTCATAAACGACCGGGCTAGAGTCTCTCCTTCACTCGAACACGCACGCATTACTATTTGGTAGAGAACGGCATACATAATGCACATAAAGAAACAGCTGTGAGCGCGTGTAGCTGTTTAAAAGGCACGTGTCCGAAAATTAGGTCACTCGAAACACGACGGTGGCGGGTGAAACGTGGAGGAGAGAAGAAAACAAAGAGTTAGAAATAAAAGGGGTAGCTGCGTCGGTCTCTCGTTCTACGCACGGCAGCGGTAACCGTATAACGTGTGACGGAGCTGCCACCTATAACAATATTAAAACGTATACGGCAATAGTTCCGTGTACATCTGTTCGACGGGTTGACGGGGTAGAGCGACTATCGCGGCCGACCGGACGGACGTTTGCGCGCCATCTGAACCCCGTTGTTGCAGATGTGCGCGAAATTCAAAAACACAACCCGTTGGCCTTGCGGCTTTCACGTTTCAAATATAATATCTTGTATATTTGACGGTTTTTTTTCCAACGTACAGTTTTAAGTGGAAAAAAAAATAATAAAACATTATTTCTTACAACGGAAACAACTACAATAATAATAATAATAATTAAATCGTATACGCACAACACTATGTATTGTATACGAGTTTATATATTATTCGTCATGTATACGTATAGAAAGCGCGCCAATATAAATATTTAAAACTAACAGTTTCGTAAATGGTAATGACTAGAGCCATACATAAATATATATATAAATATAAATCACGTGCTAAAAACTTTACCCTTATAGACGACAAAAATAAACATAATTATACATAGTAATAATACATAACCATTGAATTTCAACTACCGAAAATAGACCGGTGAAAACAACCGCGATAATTGATTACAATAATAATATTAATAACCATATTGTTATTACTTATTAGCATTATAAATCTATCGCGAGTACATAGAATTTAGACGGTAAACAATTTTTTTTTTACAACTCCGAATATTTCATACACTGTTTTTTTAGTATCATCGTAAATATATATATATATATATATATATATATATATATATATATATATATAAATAGTTTGAAATTAAAATTTATTCAATTAAATTTAAACAATTATTATACGATAACGGTTTAATGGTAATAATAACAAGGTAATTTCGAAGGGGTCGTCGAGGAAGCTCTCTGAGGTCGGGATGGTGATCAATTTAAAAATGTAAACATTGCAACAATAATATACGATCGATAGGTAAATAATTATAACAGCTCAATTCATAAAAACGTAAGAATACAAATACTTAAACACTCAAACATTGTTCACGAAACAATCATTTCAATTTTCGTCAACATATACGATTAACAAAAAAAATTTAAAAAATTATAATACTAGACACAAAAAAAATCAATCTTTTCCCAAAATAATAATAGTAATATTATGTCGTTCGCATTACCTATACATAATACGTATAATATATACGAGTGCATATGAAAATATATTAATAATAATGTGGCTATAATTTGCAGTACTTAAATGTTTTAATTTTATTTTTCTGCGTGCTAGAGAATGGTAACGACAAGACCGCGGCGAACGCGACCGGGGAAAAGAGTACCAACAATAAAACTATACTCTGCGTATAATATTACATAAAATATTTACTGTTCATCATGTATTCACACACGTTGGTGTATTGCGATTTATTTTCTTACGTCAATATGGCACGATGCAACAAATAAAACCGACGACGGATATATACATATATAGTGTACGTCTTCGTGCACAGGATAATATAATAATCGATGTCTCTCTCCCGGTGTCGACGTTTTAAAGAACAAAATAAAAAAAACGAACGGTATGCCACAGTACTTTTGAGATTCAAAAATGTTATTGCAAACGATTTAAATACGTACTGTTCGTGGACACGTTCACTCGGATCGGTTACATCGGACAGTATAAATGATCACACGAACACGAATATTCGCAATGACATTTTATTGAAATAGCGGTGAATTACATCGATTCGAGAAAGTACGAAACGAGTCGAAAAGCAAGAGCAGGATACATATATTTACTTATAAATCCTAAGCGTGTACGATAAATTGAAGTAATAAGCGAGAGTAATAAAATTAAAAATTCGTCAGACTCTGCATACATTATATACAAATATACATAACATACGTATATCGTTATAATTGTACGCGATTAATATTGTTCTAGATATTGGTCGGATTCGTCCGAAACGGTTTGCCGGAGTAGCCTCAATAGGAAGAGAGGGTGGTTTAGGGGACTTGCCACGAACTCTGGACGTAATATTATATATATATATATATATTATAAGTGTACATGTTATGAAAAGCGAAACATTATATTATTTTGAGATCTTTTTTTTTTTTTTGTTCTCCTTTTACTTTGAGAGCTAACGGAAGTAAATTATAAATATACTATCGTATTATATGCATGTAATATATTATATTGTGTTTATAGACGTATGAACGCGCGGCATACGTTCGAAGAGGAGAATAGGACAGGAGGGCCGGTTTCAGCCGAAACACACGTCCAAGCAGTACACAAGATAGTTGCAGAAACAGCTGTTGGTGCACTTCTTCTTGTTCTTCTTGCCACCGTTCTTCTTACCCTTCTTGCCACCACCACCGCCCGAGCAGCCTAGCGAACGCTTGGGCGAGTCGAACTCGGACGATTGGCTGCCATCGTCGCCGCCGTCGTGCGGGTCGCACGACCCCTTGAACGACGACGACCGCCGCTTGATGACATACGACAGACCCGCGCCGCCCGCCTGGTTACGCTTGGTCCGCGGCGTGCTCATGTACTCGAGCGTCTCCTTGGTCAGCCGTTGGCACGTCCACTTCGGGTGCTTGGGGTTCAGTATGTGCTTCATCAGCACCGCCGTCTCTTGGGCGTTGAGCAGGCCGCTGGGCATTGGGCCCGACAGGAACTCGTTGGCCGTCATCTGCAGGTACCGCACCGACAGCAACACCGTGTCGTCTAGCACCGCGCGCCGGTTGGGCACCGTCAACTCCAAGTGCTGCTGCTTGCACTTGTGCGTGCACCACCGTTCCAACGTCGTGAACAGCACCTGCGAGGCAAACCGTTATTGTTAGATGTGATCCGCATTACATTATCGCGGTCCGTTAATGTTTCTATTGTTTTTGTTGCATCTTACGCGCTGGGAATAATAATCGTAACGCACAAAACATGGCCGACGGTGCCAGAGAAGGTGCGATACGGTAGAACGCTGTCCGACTGGCAGGGGACGAGCTTCGCGGGAGTTAGGGAGTCCGGGAGTCGGTCGAACGGCGCTTTGCAAAACGCGCAGTATTCGACGAAACCGTGCGTGCGGTCTGAAAAGAAAAAATGGTAGAAATGGTAGAGGGGACGAACGCGAGCCCGATCGAGTCTCGGTGCGGCACTCGAGGAGTCTATCGACGATCGCTAGGACAATTTGGAGGGAAGGTGGGTGAATATTTTCCTAACCCTACTGCGTGAGGAACAATGCGTGATTACGAGGTTCTATGCGTTTTTCTATATTTTAATATCGCGCATCGACGCTGGGGCTCGATCGCAATGCGGTCTCGTTTTTATTACTCACCATTTCGCTGGAGACGGCCAGCCCGTCGCGGCGTAACAGCTCCCGGAGCTCGACCGTATCCAGTTCGTCAACGCTCTCGTCTGTCATCACCCGGTCGGCGTTCCGGTCGATGAATGCGCCGCAGTGGCCCAGCAACGTGTCGTAGTGCCGCACCATCCGGGCAAACGCCTCGGCGTGCGCGTCGTCCGCCGCGGCTACAGGCATAAGGTCCTGCAGAGGCGGCGCCGTGGCGCGGGTCGCGACCGGCGAGCACGTCGCAAGCTGTTCGGGGCGCGGCGCCGTCTGGTCGCCGTACAGCCTGGCCGCCTGGTACACCATGAGCACGGTGTCCACCGTCAGGTTTCGCGTCAGATAAACGATGCACTCGTTCACCAGGTCCACGCACATGTACTTGTTGGCCAGCCTAAGCGTCTCCAGCGCGGTTACCACCGATTTCAGTTCCACCGTGTTCTTGTACATGAACCTGCAGGACGCACACGATTTATGTAATACGCAATCAAACAATAATCTATTCGATTTTCGTAAATGTGCGAGAGAGCGAACGTGTGGGCACACGTGGGAGAAAGGAGAGTGAGAAGCTGCCTGTGTGCGTGTTCGAGGAGCGATGTCTAGTATTCGATAATGTGGCAAAGGATACGATTGTATATACGAGCAAGGATATGTACATGTATGTACACGCTTGTGCCTGCGGAGGATATTTTTTTGATTTCGATAATGTGTTGACTGCCGCCGATATTTGCATATTTCGAAACGTCTCGTAAATACTTTATTATTCGGGAACTAATTATTAATATTTATCCAATTGATTATTTACATTTCTATATATACAAATTACGAGTATGGGGTTGTCTAAAATAGATTTTGTTGAAATGTTTGCGATTCATATATTTTAGAATTCTTCAGATTCAAAATTTTAAACTTCTCAAAAACAAAATCACTCATATAAAAAATTTGGTTGAAAATAACGAGGAAAAAATAAGAAATACTAATCATAATTTTTTGTTCTAAAAAATATTTATTTTATTTTTTTATTTTACCCTTTTTACCATTCAAATATTGCGATGTACATTACTCAGTAGATACTAACAAATATTCGAAAGATAAAATGTACTTAAATGTGTTGGGCAAAATATTTATGACGTCACTTAATTTATTGTATTTTAAAAATATTTTAAGCTATCAGTATCCATCTCTATATAAAAACTAAAAATAAATGTACTTATTAAATATTATTTGATTACCTCATCAGTCTTATAAATCTCTAAACTTAATCGGCATAACAATTTTTTAAACAATGGCGTTATGCCAAAGTATATTGACCATAAATATGATGAACTTGAGTGATTAATGCACAGAGAAAGGAAGTATCTTTAAAATTGTTGTTATTATCAGCTGCATACAATAAATTTAATATTATGTCAAAAAGGCAAATCGGCATTACTTGCAAAAACTCTTCTCAAATAGTCTACTGACTTTAAACGATATAATCTAACTTTTTAATTTATGATCCGTTGTTATTAATCGTTAAAATATACTCTCGAATTAAAATTCTTTCTAATATACATTATAAATATATAATAAAAATTAATTACATCACTTATTTGTCTTTGATTGGCGGTAATATATTTATTTTCATTTTTTTTTTTTTTTTTTTTTTTTGGGCCTTTACGAGCCATTTAGACTCTTAGCCGCTAAAACTACTTCTTTCCGTCGCTCTCTGTCATATGCGGGGTAATATATCATAATAATTAATTAGATATTATTCAAATTTATAATTTTTAAAGTAGTTATAAAAGTCATTAAGAATATACTTAAATGAAAAACAAAATTATCCTTTATAATATAAGTATAGTCATTATACTATAGTATATTATAGTCAGTACAGTTCATCACTTAAACGAATACAATACGAAAAAGTTTCCGTTTCTATAAATACATCGTGCTTACTCACTGGTTGACTCAACATAATAAGAGTTGTTCCAAGTTTTCAAATTTATGTTTTACATGTGTTACTATATATTAACGGGGAAAAAACATAACAGATACTGCGTCTGTAAAATCGTTATAAATCTTGGCATTGATTTATGCAAAAACAATTTATTTAGAAAAAGAAATAACTGGTAATCAACATCGCCACTCGAATTGAATATTATATTAATTTTACTTTCTTACTCCCCGGTGATTTTTCACAATTCAATTTATCGTGAAATATTCATATAAAATTAATTAAACCTATACATTTTTTAAATGAGTCTTATATACTAATAAGATATTAGACAAAGTACCTTTCTAAAATAATAAATCTATATGAAATTAAATTTTTTGAAAGATTGGTTAATAATATAATACAATTTTTTTTTAAAATGTTTACGGTTTTACGAACACGAAAAAAACACTTGATTGTAAAACTAATACATAATGATAAAAAATATCTTTATATATCAATAAGTCATGAAATTATAAATATAAATAAATAAATAAAAAGATTTAATAAATACTTGATAAAACCATATTATAATAAGCATGGTTTTATTCAATTCGAACACAAACAAATTATAGGATGACATTTTATTTCCATTGCCTACGTTTTTTACTCACATGACGCAATATAAATTACAAAACTGAAGTAGTATAGCAGGGAAAGATTGGCCAATAAGGAGACTGTATTTATAGTCTTGCGTCAAGACCCAACGCGTATTTCTATACCGTGGTTATTTGAAGGAAGTGCAACCGTGTTGGTTTACGCGCAGCAAATACAGCATAAAAGATTGAATCATTATTATCCTTTGTAAATATGCAACCGATTATATTAGATTTGTTTTGGAAATGATGAATTTTTTTTATTGAAGAGTTAATTATATATTGCACTTATTTTATAGTATTTCTTAGCAAAAATATTTTAATTAAATAAATAAGAAAATATATTATATTATAAACAAAAAATGCATTACATTAATTATTCAAAAAAATATAAATTTTTTTAATTTGAAACTCGTAGCTATTCAAATCTACAGTTCTTTTAATATCGTATTATTATTCTCAAATACTATAATCCAAGGACAATATATTATTAGTTGAAGCATTTGCGAAAAATGGGTTTAGACTCTTATCATGACACGCCATAATAATTTTTTTTTTAGTATATTTATTTTTGTCTTATCTCAACAGGAAAATGTAATCGCAAACCGGATGAAATATATGAATAAACTATCGTTTTTTTCAGGGCAAATAAAATAAAAACAGTTTAAGAATATGAATTTTAACTTAATTAAGTTAAATGAATCAGTAAATCAATATTGAAGAAAATAAAGTATAATTTAGTATACTCTATTTTTTTATGCCTTTAATTTTACTTTATTGACAATATATTGGGTTTCAGAGCGATAATTTTTTATCGATTTCATTGTTTACGTACAATGTGCAAAGATAAAAAAATCAGTGGATGAATCATAAAGAATCTGTATCTATTAACATTGCTATCGAGATCATTTTATCAATCTAACCAATCATACATTCCAGCGTGCGGACCCACACTATCCGCGTAAATAAATAATATCAAAAATCTAAATAGAAAATAAGACAATAAATATTCCAGAGTTTCAAATTTTTAAACAAGTAAGTAGAAAAGTACAACGCGCGACTTTTTCGTTTATTCACTATATTATTGCTTTTTCGTCAATATAATATATTTTTATCTTTTACATTAGTTCTTTATAAATAACTACATACATTAGTTGGCACTGTTTTTGTATATTATGTAGGTTACTATGTTTAAGCTATTTATATTTTATATTTTCAACTAAATAGATAAATCTGTTCAAGACGCACGAGTATATTATAAGGTATTTAACAATATATTGATAGATTGGCATTAGCTCAAAAATATTCGATATTCCAGTACTTCCTGACTCGCGATATAATTTGACGTGCATATTTTTGCATTTATAATTTACAATTCGTGCAAGTCGTGAATGCAAAAAGACATTTTATAAGTATTTCAAGTAAAATTTCAAGTTTTGATTCAAGGAAATGCACTGTGGCGCCCCGCTATTAATTGTCCTTGTCCAAACAATAACATGCTGTCTCATAAATGGCAATTAACTGAATGTAAATAAATTATGAATCTAACTACTACACAGTAAGCATTACAAATCATGCTAATTTAGGAATAGTTAATTTGTATATTAAACATTTAAACAAATATTATTAATAATTATATCATACATGTTCACTACACTACTAAACTGTCAAGAACATGACACATTCGTTTATTGTTTTTAATAACTGAATTTCGGAAATAATTTTTCGATTTGAATGTTTTGAATTCCAATATTCATGGTCAACACGTCCTATGCAGATGATCGAATTCAACGTACAAATGATGTATTATAGTATCAACTCAACTACGGCATTATATGTAAGGTATAAGAATGACAGCTGAATAAAATTCAAGATGTAAAATATTACAAAAAAAAATTAAGTACATACAAGTTTCTCAATATTTACCCAACGCAAATATAATAAACTTCTCACTAAAAAAACAACTCACTTTAATAGGTTGTCGAACGCTCTAGGGTCATCATCCGGTATGTGAATAGGGGTGCCTTTTTTTGACCAAGGTTCACGAAGCATAGCGTCAAACACAGGGTATTGACATAGCACGTTTATATGCGCAGGGAACCTCCAACATTCGGGATCTCCGACCAAAAATATGACGTCACTACCAGCTTCATTGTTGTACAGGTTTTTCCACCTAAAACAAACGACATTTTATTAGTGTACCTACTCGTATAATAGTACACTAGTTCATCGATAAATCCCTTACAATATTCAGCAAGTGAAATATAAGAGTATATACATTATAGTTCAGTTCAAGGACCGCGCGATCACCAAAGCTTTTTAATAAAATATATTCATCATTGTTAATTTTTGTAGTTATCTCGACTTTTCAGATTAAGTTTTTAATAATAATAAAAAAAAATTGGTAGCATCTACGGCAAATAGATACCTATATAGTATATTATACCTAGTTACTGCACACAAATATCGTTATTATGTGATTAATACGTCCAATGGCATCCATTAATCACGGCCGAGGTCATACCGCATTGTCAAAAAATTAACAAACACATTTTATTATATATTTGTACAATTAAAAAATAATTTCACATGTTTTGTATATGTAAGTAAATATTTTTTTAGATGTAATAAAATGAGTGGCACCCAACCAATATATATATATATATACATTTCTATATTCATATTCTATATTCACATTCTATATTTCATATTTCTAGATACAGACGGGGACCATATGCTTAGGTTGTTCCCGATAAATTGAACGTATAGCCTCAACAAAAGAACAAACGTCGATCTCTTACTGTCCACACTTCAGAATACACACAAAGGTTCTTTTAAACATTTCGAGAAAAAACGATTACTGCAGTGATGATCAAGGTCCGAGAAAACGGAATATCTAGTAGAAACATATTTTTTGTGTCATCAGATGGGGATTACCACACGCACGTTTGGGTGTTTTTTTTTTAACAAAAAAAAAACAACATTTTTTTTTCTTAACAAATACTGACTATCATATTTTGTAAGAATCGAAAAGAAGTCCAAAAGAATGACCACATGTAAAATAAGCAGTCACTGTTAACACATATATATCAGACAATTGGATCCGACGGAAGAATTACATAGTTTATGCACTGTTATACGGGTACTTTTCATGTATTGCTCCGATTACAAACTCAATAAACACATCGTCTTATTATAATGCGACGCATTGTATACACATTGCCCATAAGGATATTATTGTGAGAAAATTTAAATAGTATAAATTAATTAATTATTCGCGTGTGGAGCTATAGAGCTACTCAACAGTGATATATATAATTAATAATAATGGTGTGTTTTTTTTTTTATGTAATTTTTCATATTAATTCATTAAATACTGGTTATAGTGATAAATTATTTGTAAAAAATAAATTTTTCGTGCAGCCTTCAGTTAAAGTCAACATAATGAAAACCATTGAAACGGTTAAGAGTAGTCGTGCATTGCATACGTGACAATTAAAAACCGAATTAATGACTGCCTTAGTATCTTAATGGTATAATAGATACATCATATATCGGTACCTGGTACGTCATATGTCGGAACTTGGTACACCATAACATAAAATAATAAAAGTTAATACATTAGTAATTTATATTTAAATTACATATAACTATCATAACATTTTATTTATAAATCATAAACCATTAATGTGTACATAATCATATTATAAATATAACTCATGTAACAATAATACTATCAATTCCTAGGCCACCACTTTATTTAATACTTCCTTGATCGAAAATGATGTTGTTTGATTAAAAGAATGACGTGACTTGTTTGAATATCAAGACCACTTTTCATTTGTTAAATTAAATTAAATCGAGCAAGCACAACAAGTACATTTTAAACGATTGAAAAATGATTTATTATAAACACGTTGAACAACAACATAACAGTTCGAACTGTATGAGTAAGCATAGGTACTAAAAGATTAACATTTTAATTTTTCATCTATTATAGAAAATTGGAAAATATTAATTCAGTTCTTTCAGTTCTTGGAAAAAAAAGGTAAACATATTATGATAGTTATATTATAACTACGTAGTTCATGTAGTAGATAAATAGTTATGTCTGCTACATATGTACTTCGCGCAGGATAAAGAATTCAAACAAATTCAACAAGATTTTTCGAAATGATCTATCCAGTTTAAGAACATTTCACGAAAACATAAAACGATATTTGTGTGAAAGGTTTTTATGGTATGGGTACCATCTTCGTTATACTGCGATAATAATTGAACATAAAATGGGAATCGTATCTATATATAGTCTATATACTATAGTATACGACAAAAAGAATGCATTATAATGTACACGCTCCCGGATAAGGGTGAAGAAAAATCAATTCATTATTGACAGATGGAAAATAAGATGTTGTTATAATACGCGTTCATCCACATTATAATATTGCTGCCGTGTACCTGCTACTACGTGATCCCGACACCCACGTGTGAGAAAACGTCGTGCACAATTGCTATACCGCGAGCGAAGTACGTATTCAACACACCGGTCGCTAATATCACGCATGGCATGTGCAATTTCTTTGAAAACCTTTGTGACGAAAAGTAAAAGGAATAAATAATAGAGACCAGCGTTTTACCATTATACATTGTCGGTCCCGTTTCACCCCTTTTTTTTCCTTTCCTTTTTTCTTTTGCTCACAGGGTGAGAAATTTTTGCAGTCGACCGCCGGGCATGTGCATGTGCGCACTTGACCGCCAATTTCTTACATAACGGTATACGGGGGCTGCTGTAGCCTGCAGAGTCACACCCAAAACGGGCAACAATGGACGCACTACGCCATTTGTTCGGCGGGCGAAGAAAAGATTCTCAAAACGGTTAACACATTGCCTTAGAAAAAATATATATAACCTTACCTGCAGTCTTTGGGCGCGTTTTGCAAATACATGATTTTATGCGGCGATCCACGGGTTTTGACCATCGAATCTCGATCCTCTTTTGCCGAAGGGGATGTTGGTATTCTAGTGGTACCGCTGTAACAATAAGAAAATAATAAGAAAAAAACGTCTTATTATAATATCAAAACGTATTTCTATGTGCTTTATGTTTCGATGAGTATTCATCATTCAAAGCGATTACAAAGATTACCCGATCATTTTGACAAATACATCAATTTTAAGCCCACAATAGTACATACGATTAACATAACAGTTACCTATAAATAAAGGATTTATTTATAGTGCATATTGTATATTCTGAAATAGAAAATCTGAATTGCATTTTTTAAAAAAACCTAAATAATTGTTGCTATAAATTTAAACAATTTCGAGACAGTTGTCGAAAAATGTGATGCTTCATCTAACTTATACTATTTCACTTCATTTGGATCTTACGTAACACAACATTAAAATTCTGGTAATTTATTGTTATTAAAACTATACCTTCCTGTATAAAGGCGAATGAATAACATTTTTACGTTGGAAAAAAATTCATAAAGTATCCATTACGTAAAGATAAGCAGCGTTGTAATATGTTAATTTACTATACGTTCTATATCATTTTCTGCGATTTAATTTTTTTTCCCTCAATAAAAATCTATTCGAGATAAAATAAGTTCATATCATATGTTTATATATATATATATATATACAAGCACAGTATATGATGTATTTTTATACTTATCGAATAAATATATTTATTATCGGAACTTCACACCAAAACATACACGCGCAGAACGGTTGTTCTTTCCTGTGCTACGAAATGATAAGGACACGTTGGGGGCAATGCACAGGAAACCTCACCCTGTAATTTTTGTCCACACACACACAAACATATAACACATACGCATAATTATGTCCTGAAATATAATAGCAGCAGCCAGCCACCGGGAAACGATTTTTCATCACAAATAGTATACAGCGTGTGTTTGTGCATGTGTGGATATGTGTGTGTGTGTATAGCCTGTGAGACTGAGTTGCTGCACATATTGACGAGATTTCATCTGGATCGCGATTCACATGTATGTAAATAATACAACTATATATATATATATATATATATATTCCAGATCCTTGATCATAACAGTCTGAAAACATACACGCATACACTGCTCTCTTATATAAACTATTTGATTTGCTAATGCGTCTGGTTCTAGTGACTGCTGCGTTTGCACTGCATATAATATATATATATATATATATATATATATTACGCATATGTGCTATAAATGCGTATGTATAATATGCGTTATAAGTATACTATATAGCCATTACGGAAATAAAAAAATGACGAGTATAATCTCAAATCAAATAATGATCGAATTATGCTAGATAAAGAGTTTCGTTTTAAAATAACGTATTAAAAAGTAAACCATCTTGGAAAAAGCCCCGAAAATATCTGGTTCGGTTGAATAAGAATAATAAAACGTAAATAGAAGAGCCTGAAATAAGATAGTAAAAATCAAATCGATTTTTCAAATGATATAAATTTCATTACTATAAAATTTAATATTCAACGTGGATGAAAATATTAATATAAGTAGCCAAACTACTCATCTTATTAAACTAATTTTTTGTAAGAGCTTATGTATGTTATTAATAAAGCGCTCAGTGATACATTTTTTTTTTTCATTACCCTAAGCTCAGTAATGTAACTATATTATTATTTAATTTGCATAAAATAATGATACCTAGTTGATAAAATAAAAGCAATAGGTATTATATTACAATGAAGCATTCTGAAAATATTGAATCCTCTAAATATCTTTTGAAAATATTATTTATATTTTCTAAGAGGCACTATTAGATTTTCAAGTACCTACTGAATATGAATAATGAACATTTCTAACAAAAGAGCAATATCAAATAAATTTTTAATTAATATAACGAAATAATATTATATAATAGAAAGGTAATGATATAGCGGAAGGAGCTGTATATAGAATCTGAGGATGAAAAAGTATTATATCCATTGATGATATCGACGCTTCAGTTCAAGATTGCAATAACTCAAATTATGAAACTGCTGGTTCTAGAATAAAATAAACTAGGTACTTCTATAGGTGAATAATGCAACTAAAAGTTATTGCGTTATAGAATAGAAATCGTCGTATTTTGCAAATAATATCACGTAGATAACTCAATTCTGAATATTTTTGAGTTATTGCTGTCTTCAACTGAGGCGTCGATATCTCAATAATAGTGTTTTTGAGTTATTGCAGTATTGAACTGAGGCGACGATATATACCTTGAAACAAACTTATTTGGTGATTTATATATTTTAAATCAATCAATAATTAAAAGTAGTTATAGTAATAAGGCGCGAGTTTTATAAATTGAAATTAAAACAACAATACCTATTACTAAAACATTGATGACTTTTTATTTTAACAATTTGTTAATAACTAATATCTCAACATAGTATTAAATATATTTTAGACGTTTTATGTTTAAAAATATTTATATATCATACAGAAAATACTTATTTTTCCAAATTATAAATGCAATTTAATTTAAATATATAATGTTTAAATTAAAATAATAGCGCCGATTTCACGCGTGATGGGTAGTCTGGAGTCGGATTAAAACTGTTGACACTTAAGGGCAACCATAGTATTTGTAGTATATTGTGTCCTTGCCCATTGCTTTACCTCTATCCCTCTGCATCGTTAATCTGACACTGACCTTGCACCCTATTTAATTGACGTACTTTTATATTTAAAGGACATTTTAATTTACAACTTAACATTTAATTTTTTGCAAGAAATATAAAAATAATGCATCTGTTTAGTGGTTGTTAATTTATGCATTACAATTATATACTATGTTTCTTTCACGAATATTATGTAAATGATTGTTAGCACGATTATTGGTAGCATTTACAGAGTTCTTATAATGAATGTGGTGTTTCAACATTTCAACTGTATAAGAAGAATATATATATAATATAGGTATTAGATAATATTTTTAAACCTTTAATTTGAAATCAATTTAGATGATTATCCATATAATAATATAATTCCGAGTGGGGAAAAAATGGATTTATACGTTTTTACTAATCAGCTACTTCTGTTACGACTGTAAAACCAATTTTTTTATATCAAGAACTTTTTGTATAATGCCCATAAAGTGATACTTATATAAGAATTGTATTATAAAACAATCTTTTAATTATAATTTAATTTTTTTTTACTTAATTATATACGATTAAAAACAGTTTTAGGTCGATTTGAATAGATACACACGTACACGTACACGTCGGAAATATTCGTTTCGTTCGAACATTATACTTTGAATTTTTAAACAGTGTCACGACATTAGTATCAGAAATTATTCGTTAATTATAATCGTAAAATCGGGGATAATTCAGGTCATAATAATAAACACACATGTATTACAGTAGAACGGACGTATTGTGATACAACGTACTACACGAAACAACACATAAAATCATAATAATATATGGTCGTATGAATAGGCCGTTTGAAGAAAAAAAAAAGGTGCAACGAATAATTAAATCGGTGAGCGCGCGCGTATATTTGATACGTTGAAAAATAATTGTCCGTATACGAATCATCACACGTCGACCACGTCGTGAGCGTAACCATAACACAGTTGTCATCGCGTGTAATCCAACCGACTCGCCGTAGACGCTAAGCGCAAGAGACTCGTTAAACATCGTATGGCCCATATTGTATGGAGAATACTTAATTTAAACGACAAGTATACATCATACACACTCATCGGGTTTCTCTCCACGCATAGAGATCGAAAATAAATAAAAAAAAAACTAATATCAAGTCGTCTTGGCGAAATTAAAAATTTCAAATTGTTAAAACACAAACGTAAACTCTCTCAATCTAATGGTATCGGTATAAATATAAAAAATTGTAAAAAAAATAAATAAATTGGCCGACCACCTCCTGCGGCAGCCAACACACAGCGCGTACACACACACCGATACACGTGAACACACGCGGCACAAATTATCGCACGCGACGCGCGAGTGAAATTAGTGCCAAATTCTCGGCGGCTATTTCGGAACGTGCGCCGCCGCCACCGCCGCGTGCCGAGCTAACTTTGCGTATTTTTCTATCCGACGCGCATATCGCGTAGCCGAGACTTTAATCCGAGACACGCGGACGATAATCGTCGACAATAACATCGTTGCGGACGAAAACCGCCAGAGCAATCGGCGAGCGAACAAGGGGGGGGGGGGGGTAGAATAAATAAATAAAAATCATTACGACATGCGTGTACACTTATTGATGTGCACTACGGTATAAAGATCGATCTCCCGAGCGATCTTAACCCGCGAGTGGGTTTTTTTTTATTTTCATTCGTCCCGACAGTACCACCGCGCGTGGTATACAAACGGTACGCGCCTAAATTGTAATGCGTTCGTATATTTACATACGAAGTGGTTTTTAACCGAAACGTATACATTATTATTACACGATGAGCGTGCATACGCTGATGATAAAATGTATACAATATACAACACTGCACCGGTCGTCTCCGGTATCGCGGTCGTCCGAGACGACGGTGAAAAACACCGCAAGAAGCGCGCTCGCGTATTTCCCGTGTAATAATTATTTTTATCTTTTTTTTTAACCCTTTACCTCTCCGTCGGTTGACGGGGGAGGCGTTTAATAAACGGTAAGGACGCCACTGACGATGTCGAAGAACACGATATAATAATATGCAACGTGTTTTTATTTTCATTTTATAGAGGCATATACATATTATTATTACCGGACACGGGACGTAAAAAAAAAAAAAAAAACGGTTCACTATGTATAAAAGGCGGCGACGGTGGCGATGAGATCGAACCTCAGTCGGAGGCGGGGAGGAAACAAGAAATCGAAGTATACAACAGGTATATTCGAACGTTAATCTTGTATATAGGGTGGTAAAAAGTAAAAACGCTAGTAGACCGAATCGGATAATACACGTATAATATTATAACTCAAAAGTCATGAATATTAAGCACCTGCTTTTTGCATACAAATTGAAAAAGTTTCGTAAACAGTACCCGGGGTGTTAGCACAATCGCAATATTTTAAAATTTACGAAAAAAAATATTTTGTCACAGAACCTACAGACTCGATATTTTCCATCGTAAACATTTATATATATAGAATATTTTTAACGTCGCGTTAAAGAACATTTCTGTTTTTATGATAGAACTGTTATGATATAAGCGTCGAGTAATATAATATATTATAAAGTCAAGTATTATGTACACACTGTCGAAGGCGAATTCAAGTTTACATCTATAACAATTTTTGAAAAAACTCCAATTATTATTACGAGATGGTGAACCGTTGTTTCATGGATCGAGTATAAAAGTAAAGAATTTTTGTGGTTTGGACGTATCGCGTTACACGCGCGTTATACCAAAAATAAACCGCAAGAATGATTTTTAATTATCTGATCTTGCTGCAAATACAATATTAATAATATAACTTATTTTATACAAATATTAAATACGTACATGGTCACATAATAAATATCATCCGATGTTCGATTTGAAAAAAAATAAAATAATATAAGAAAATATAATATATATATATATATATATATATATATATAACGTAATATATAGTATTTTAGTTTATCAAACGAATTATTTACCAGCCATTAAATAAATCAATAACCGTTAACCGACCATTAATCAATTACTCACATAAATAATCATAATAGTATACATGTAGGTATTATCGAAGTGTAGCAGCCGCCGACACGTGCACTTTGTTTTGTACGAAGAAACCGAAATCGTCGCCGTGTGAAATTCATCAAAACGGAAATCTAACACGAATTCTCAAAATTCGATACTTCATAGTAAAAAAAAATTATCTAATTAAAATCACTATACACTTTGGCGAACAATGATTAATACTATATCATATTTATGTAAACAATGCAGTATAGTCATGCGGCAGACATCAGCGATAACGTACCCGACAAAACGATATCATTGTGATAGAATAAATGAACATTATCGCTGACTTAAAGTCGCACATTATGTAGTTGACGATAAAATACTATTCCGTTTCGCTAGAACAGTGTTCCTATGGAGGGTTAATTTGTTAAATAATATCCTAAAAAAATCCTATTTCAAAAATCAATAGGTTCAAATATCGTACACGGCGACGACGAAGCAAGGATACACCAGTACTCGCTCGTATATGTCATCATAAAATAATATATTTGTGTACATCTATGTGATGTTTACTGATGGGAGTACATTTGATGTAAACTCATTAATTTGGCAATAATAATGATGATCATGATGATGAATATCCGACGATTTGCGGGAACACGCGCAGTTAAAATGACGATGATGATAACAATTATATAATATTCATCTCACACCGGTTCTTTCGACTTTTAACGAATCAATTAAAATACCAACAGCGACAGATCTAAAAAATCGTAATATATATAATATATTGCATGTGAAACACGATTGATTTACCAACGTATTTGACCTGTAAAGGAAACGTAATCACAAAAATGTCGATAATTTACGGCAACGTTGAGCAAAATAATTGTTAATCATAACCGCACAGGGAAACTCCTTTTCGCACGCATCCCTATTGAAATCCTACATAAGTATGATGAATACTGAAAAGACAGCATTACCTCACCTTCCCCGAAATTTCAAGAACTATTTATTATTATACTACTAAACTATATTTTGATATTAATGATTATTAAAATTATATCTTAATCTAAACAATTTAAAATGCACTGGAACCATACGACGTGTTTCCACAACTAAGCCCTATCGTAAAACATAATCTTCATGTAGGCATGTATTTAAAAAAAAAAATTTCTCAATACTGAAAACTAGCTATGCCGTTATCATACGGTTTTCTGGTAATGTGATAATCGACGACCAGCCCGAACTGCTGGATACACCACCGGACAGACGCGTAATACAACCGAATCCAATGGTGCACAGACGCTCTATCGGGTCGGCGGACACGACTCCATCATACCTGCACACCTACCTACGTAGACACTACCCTGTACAATACCTCGTACACAGTTTGCCGCCAACCCGTCGTTGGTCCCGGGGTTGCTTTAAGAAGCGCGAAGAATTTTTCCCGGGAACGAATTCACGCGTACGGGGTGAAAAACTGTTAAACTTAAACGTTATACTGCCTAAATGCCACGTGCCCAACGACACTCACCGGAGTCCCATGACAAATGTGTAGCAGCAGCAACAGCACAGCAATGGTAAAGCGTGTGTATTATTTATTGTTATCAACCACACTCTACGGCGGCTATTGTATTATTATCTACGGATAACAATTGATAATCGCGTGCGGAAACGCAGGATCAGCGACGGTCGGATGACGATCTCGACGGACGGTCCGGACGGTGGACGACGGACGTCTTGCGATTGGCCATGGCGATCGCCGCGGGTTGGTAAGGAAAAGCGGGCGACCGACGAGCGACGCACGATACGGTTTGCGGAAGTCGGACGCGATCGGTGCACACGATTTTCGCCAACTCGAGGGAACGGTGCGAACTCGCGAACACTGGCGCCGCGCATGTGCGCGCGTGTCTGCTGCTTGGCGGAGGAGCGAGACGGCGACGACCGACCGATGATGACGCGCGCCGTACGAATGCCGGCGAACGCACTGAACGGGCCACGGGCGGCGGCTCGGATCGCGCGCGCGTGTCCGGTAGACGCCGCCGCCGTGTGTGCGATAAGGGTGCGCGCGCGGCCGGTGAAACGGTTGCCCCACTCCGCCTCGGCCGTCGGGCCGGGAGGCCGGGTACGATCGGCCGCGGCGCGTTTTTTTTCCTTCTTTTCTTTTTCGGGTTTTTCTATATAATAATAGTAATGCGGTACGTACATCATTACACGCTGTACCGTACACCGGGTAACCGAATCAACCGACTACATAATACGTTGTTGTTATGTGCCTATACGAGACAGCAGGACAAGACGAGCGACGACCGCCGAGGGTCAACGTACACGCCTTATTATTATTATTACCCATTACTCTTATTATTATATTATTATTATTGTTATTATTATTATTATTATTATTATTATTATTATTATTATTATTATTTGTATTATTATTATATTATATTATCGTGTGTTGTGTATATACAGGTATTTATTATTATTAGATTGAACGCGGTACTCGAGTTGTGTACACGTTTAGTAGATCATGTGCATTATCGGAATCGCTGTCCCCCATCCCTTGACCGAGCATATTAGAATCACGTCTGGATTTAGCAGGGGTGAGGGGGTGCAATACACCGGGATCTCAAGCTCTAACGGGATTCTTAAACCAAAATCCAAAATTTAAGATTATTAGTGGTTGCGTTTAAATTAAATTGATTAATGGTATATATATATATATATATATAATTCGTATATTGAACAAATTTTTTTTAATGGGTCTTCAATTGGTATTTGCACCCTTGCCTCCCGAGACTCAGATCTGGCAGTGTATGTAGGCAGCCCTGGATTAACATTATCATAGGCCCTAGGTCCTAGGTCCCTTGCCCCAAAGCACAGTAGCTTTTAGTACTAATACGACCCTACAGTGTCCGGTATTTAAATGCCTTAACCTTATCTTTGGCAGAGGAAGAGTTGAATCTCAGTTGTTTATTTTTATACACAAAAATATTTACAGTATAAGTTTAAAATCTAAACTTTCATTTAAAATAAAACGATTATTAATTATATGGAAAGGCGCTCATATTATTTTATTCACCCAGGGCACTAATGACTACTGCCGGCACTGCGTAGACCCTAGGCAAAGTAACTATATTGTCTATGGGCTAATACGGCTCTGTATATAAGTGCATGTGACAATTTCGATTATCATTCAATCCCTTTTGCCCAGCATCGGCAACAGGTCTGGATGATTGATTCGTATGGTTTCACGCGACTCACAACGCATCGATCCTTTGACGAATTTCTTCCTGTACGTTTTATTTCCCATCCCCGCACTGTAACGTGTACTACCCACGTACAAATGTTGTGTGTAAAATTCGCGTTCATAACGGCATTTGTCTAAGCGTGACCGAACACAATAATAGTACGAAAGACGTAAGAATATATAGTAGAATAAATGATGGTGCACCCGCGAACGTACAGAATATTACATTTAACCAGTCCGATATACTCATATCACAACTTCTTCATTATTCCATGCCATATTATACATTTTCCAAAATCTCACGTCCCCTTCTCAATGAGTTTGAATCAAACTACAAAATACTGTTAACTTTATTTTATTTTAATGTGTAGCATAGCTACAAATTGAAAAACAATTTTTTTCTTTTAATATTTGATTTCAATTTATATTCGTAATATATAGAAGAAAATGTAAATAAAATAAGATAATTCTGTTCATTTTTAATTATTTTTCTTTTGTCCCCGTTTATGTAAATTACTTCGAAAATATTTTACTCCGCGACGAGAACTGCTAGACAAGGGATCGGCAATTAATTTCTATTGGAGTCCTATTTTGCCGATCCTTGTGCTAAACGAACGCCTCCCCAGCTATGTGCACTCACCGAATCGGGAAACGCCATCCTAACCGGTTCTTGTCCGTCATCTACAACAATTGCGATACACATACATATAAACAATTACTTCATGCTTTCGATGTGTACAATGTATAATTTAATTATAAATTACATAATTAATATATATATAATAATAATAAACATTAATATATACCATGTCTAATGGGTAATACGGGATTCTATGTGGTGACCAATTTCCTGAAGTTTCGGCTGTATAATGTACGAAACGCGTGTGTGATATTTTATATTATAATGCGACGTGTTTATTATTCACGATGTGCCCGTGATAATAAAGAAAGTAGGAGACACTTGAACTCCATACAACCACCCTCGACCCGTAAGACAGACCATTGTTTTTAAACGTCGACATCAATAATCACACGGTTTTACTCGTTTCGTCTTTGTCAATAAACTCATCATAAATTGTAAGCACCTGTACGTAATACAAATATTAATAACATGAATAATCGTGTAAAAAATATTGCTTGTGAAATAATTTTTTTGTACATTCGCGTTTCAACAAAATATACGCATCTCAAGTCGTCAAAATTACCGTAAATACCATGTATACGACAACACGCGTTTCATTCAATCGGAAATTCACCTCGTTACAATACTAAATGGTAAGTACCTCTGCGGCAGTGGTTTAAATTTAAAATTATTGTTGTTTCAACATCAACAGAGTTCAACGCAAGAATAAATAAGATACCCCGAGTGACCTGTTAAAATGTACATTGGACTAAATTATGGTCCGTTACTATCATTAAAATGTATGGGTATGAAGGTACACCGTCATAAAGTCTTAGGAAATCACCTGGTACGTTTCGAATTCGGTCCAACAATGAACTAGGAATGATTTTTTCGTGTAGAAGATATTATACGATATCGTTTATCAAGTATACTCAACTATATATATATATATATATATATATATATATATATATATATATATGAGTGGTACAACTATGATTCGTTTAATGTTTTATTCAAACATCATATTCATTCTTTGCTAATCATGTACCGGAAGTATATGGCGCACGTATGATTTTATTTTTATTTTATTGGATAGTTACGGTCTCCACATGATATTTTTCTTACCAAAATAATCACAATAACATTTTTTACAGTTTAGATTACTTGGAAACTGACTACTCCATAACCAGTAATCCGTAAACAATCTGTCGGTCAATGATATGTGTAATTACACACAACCAATAACGATAGACCTTAGAGCCGATAAACCGTTCACTATACATCATTTATATATATATACATTTTTCTTTTATAACTCATTATTTATCGAATTCTTATTGTTTATGTGACAATTATTTTGCATCCCTGTATGATAAATACAAACATTCAATTTTCTACATTAGACTGTTTATTTTTTTTATTTTTTTATATATATTTTTTTAATTGTTTAACAAAGAAACTTGTTCACAATAAAAATTATTCCCACAGTCCGTAAACGCAACGTAAACATATCATAACAATTATAAATCTTAAATAAGTCATAACAAGATGATACGTTTAAAATATTAGGAATAGTTGATCCTTGATAATACATATTGTAATGAATGTTATGTGTACACCATATCATCCATGTGTTGTTTTTTCACACACATAATTGAATTATTGTAATATGATATTACAATGCACATAACTCTGATAAAATATAAATGACCATTTATGAAAAAACACCCATAGTAAAAAATAAGATCGTTTGTCGACAAATAAAATCAATCTCAAAACAATTCCATATTAATGCAATTTTATATGTGCATATAAATATAATATATTCACTACCACGGAATCGCACACTTGGTTGAAAATTACCTAGGTATACAATTTTACCTATAGTATTTTGATTAATTTTTTTACATTTATAATACTTGAATTCACTTCAGAAAAGTTGTCCCTCGAAAGTTACAACACAAAAATCTAATAATATTTTTTCTATTCATGGTTCAAATTAATAGATGTTCAAATAGATGAACAATTCTACACATTTTATCCAGAAAATGTATTTAATTAAAGAGTACACCATAAGGCTATTTGAGTTTTAATTTTATTATTTAAATTTTATGAGAAGAAAACATGTTTATTTAAGTAGGTAAAGAAAAATTGATTATACACCAACTTATAGCTGTAATTTTTTAAATTAATAATTATATTCAGACGGTTTATATTACTAAATTAATTGGCGACCGGTGGGTAATTAAGTAATAAAATAGATTGACATTTTTATTGGTTATAAGTCTTGAAAACCCATTTCGACCCTTCGAACACCAGTTCAATGCTATATTTCTATATACTCTTATATTATATAACATAACCAGGCATTTTTTTTATGTGCACCAATTGAAGAATTAATTGAATCAATGATGAGGGTCATTTGCTGATCTAAAAACAGCACATTATTGTGTCTCTTTGGATTTGCATCATTAACAATGTATTTTTTTTTTAGCCCCTATGGATTTATTAAAACCAAACTCTTATATTAATTCTGTCTCATACTACGCTAAAATGATTTTAAATTTAAAACATGACTCATTATTAACAAGCAGCACTTCAATAATAAAATCGCATAGGTAGTAGTTCCGTATACGCTATAAGAGGAAACGCGGTTATTGAACAATGGACGAAGCTGGTACAACATAGAATTATAGAAATACATACATTTGTGATAAGAATTTTTAATTAACCAAGATACGCACATCGTCATAGACTTGAAAATCAAATTTTATATAGATTGTATTATATTTATTAGGACTAAACTTTAAAAAATTTTTTCGACGGACTTTTTGGATATTGATATTCTAGTGGTAATTGGAACACAATAAGCTTAAATATAATCTAGTAAAAAATTACAATAATTTTACATTGAAACCATAGGAATTAAAGTGTAGTGGTTTTTATAGTTTGCTGATTATTATTTAGTATCCTAACTAATTATTTGAGACACCATCAAAATAATACGTATACGAGTTGAGCACCTGAAATAGTTTTTTTCAGACATTTAGAGCTCTGCAATATTATCAACATTTTTTTTTCTCGTAATACAATCGTCTTATTTTGTATATAATTCAATTTTGATTTT